TTTGGGAGCAAATCTGAACACAAGGTGTAGATATTTTGAATTAGTCAAATGCCACTCGCAGTGCAGTGATTGGGCTGTGCGGTAGTCCCATGCCCGAAAAAGCAGTTGAATGGGACCCTACGTCTAGGCATTGGCTTCCGTGTGTCAGGGGGATGTGCGCGTGGATGTATGGTGCCCAAGTGCGTGGGGAGGGTTGCAAGAGTGGCCACCAGCTTGCACCTGGCCAGTGCGGAACTATCAGTGTGAGTGATGCATGGGTGCGTTGTGCGTGATGGAGGACGGCTGGGATCAGTTGAGGTGGGGGGAAGGCGAAGTTGTTTTCAGGTGTCCACGCGATCGAGAATGCATCAACTGCAATGGCTGCCGGGTGGGGAATCTTCGAACAGAATCGCGGCAGTTGGGTGTTGCGGAAGTTTGCGAAGAGGTCGATGGAGTGAGGACCCCAACGACGTTCCAAGATCCGGAACCACGGCGTTTTCAGCGCGTAATCGTCGTGGTCGACCATTTTTGAAAGCTCGTCGGCGTGTGTGTTGAGCTCGCGCGGAATCCATTCAATGATCAAGCGCGTGCCAAGCGCCATGCATGTTCGGATGATGCTCTTGCATGCCGTTGTGAGGTCGGGGCTGTGAGAGCCGCCTTTGCGAAGGATGAAGAATACGCCCTGGTTGTCCACCCGCACGAGAACGTGTTTTTGCTTGATCTTGTTCGCGTACGTTTGTAGCGCCCAAAGGACGCCTTCGATCTCCCGTCGTGTGCTAGACGTTCCTCGTAGCGGCTCTGACATGGTCGCGCTAGCTTCTTCGAGGCCACCCGGAAATGTGGTCAGAGTGGCGCCCCAACCATGAGAGCTGGCATCCACATGGATTACCGCGTCGTAGCTGTTCTTGACGTGAAAAGGTGCGCCGTTGAAACGGTCGAACTCCTCGAGCCAAAATTGGAGCTCTTCTGCTGCAGATGGGGGGATAACGACGCTGCTTTTCCATGACGGTGCGTCGTTGATCACTTGTAACATAGCATGGCTGAATGCGCGAGCGGTCGCGCCAAGTGCGACACCCATCGATGCGAGCATGCCAGTGATTCTGGCCACGTGGCGGACCGGGACTGGTCGGCATGCCTTGCTTGCGCTCAGGAGGTTCCGGATGGTTGCATGTAGTGAGGCTCGTCGGTCTGGACCGATGGAGAATCGGCCGGTATCGGTCTCAAGTTCTACGCCCAGGAATCTGAGACGCTGCGATGGTGACAGTTGTGATTTCTTCGCGTTTATCACAAGGCCTGCCTCTTTAAGATCCAATATCACCCGCTGGCAAGTTGCTTGCGCGTCGTCTTTCGACTGGCAGAGAAATAAGATGTCGTCCACGTAAGGGACGACTCGGATGCCTTGTTCTCGCCAACGCCGAGCTAGTTGCTTAATGAGCTGCGTGAAAACGAATGGAGCTGTCGCGAGGCCGAATGGTAGTGAACGGAATGCGTATGTGCGCTTGTCAAATTCAAAGCCAAGGAACTTCCAGCACGATGGGTGGATGTCGATGTGGTGGTAACCAGATTTGAGGTCAATGGAGAACATCCAGTCCCCAACGCGCGCCAGGTCGGCGACGCGGCTGAGCCCCTCGTACTTGAACTTGGGGATGATCAAGTTGGCATTGACTTTCCTCAGATCAAGAATGAGCCTGCATTTGTCTTTTTGCTCGACCACGTTGAGTGGACTTATGCACGTAAGCTCCGTTGCGGCCATCGGAATTGCCGCTCCCGTCTCTATGAGTTCTTGGATGGCGGTACGTGTGAACGTGGCATGCGTGTTTGCCCCGACATGATTGCGATCGTGGAAATGTTGCGGTGGGCCGTGGCTCCATGGCAACCAGTAACCCTTGGCGATGACGGAGAGGACAAGGCTGCTGGGGCACCATGAGCTCCACCACGCAAATGTCGCGCGGAGACGACCGCGCATGTGTGTAATAGTTCTGTCTGTAACGGCAAATTCGTACGGATCGTCGTAGCATGCCGCCTCGCACCGTCGTGCTCCTGTACATGTGAGGCCAAGTGGTATAAGGGTTGAGTATTCCATGTTAAAGCATGCGTGTGCATGTACATGTACGGGCAACCATTGATCGAAGGTGTGACGAGAATTAACCATTGAATGAAATGTCAACGAATGTGTCGGGAGTGTTAACGCATGTCTCTACTTCTCCTCGTTTCCTTTTTTTTTTGGTCCCGTCGTCCACTTGGTAGGACGGTTGTGCCTGCCCTTAGTGCGTGGGGGCTGATACCTAGGGCCATGGACACCGTTGTCCATTGTGCTTTCTCTCATTCTCTCTTCTCTCTCTCTCTCTCTCTCTCTCTCTCTCTCTCTCTCTCTCTCTCTCTCTCTCTCTCTCTCTCTCTCTCTCTCTCTCTCTCTCTCTCTCTCTCTCTCTCTCTCTCTGATTTTCATAGTCTCTTTGCCAAAACCATAGGCCTTTAGGAAGGTAGTTTTTATTAAATCAACCAACACACATAGCAATGCTTTCCTAGCATGCATCATGCCACCAAGTGGCCAAACATATGGGACCGAGGGGTTGTTGTTCCCCTTCCCTCTCCTAGGCCCAAAGCCTATCCCACCCTTTACTAGGGCTGGCCTCTTGCCATCGCAAACCCCTAGGGTTGCCCACGGTCTTCGCACTCAAGAGTGCACCGTGCCTAGCGCCCAAGCGCCTAGTCCCATGGCCCGCTCCTACACCACCGGAGCGGGTCCCTGGCCGCCATGCCCGTTCCGAGGGCAGGCACTTGCCACGTGGCCCGGCAAGCCGCAGCGGAAGCATGAGCCTCGGAACCCACGGCAATTGGCCGTGGGCGGGGGGCCTCGCTTGGGTAAGAACGGCATCGGCCCGTTGTTTCCGCCGCGGTTGACACGAGCGTATCCGCTTGCCGCACGGTCCATCGCCGCCATGTCCGCGACTGCCTGCTTGAAGGGTCGAGAAGTCAGCAGGCTCTTCTGCTGGTACAGCTTGAAGCGCTTCGCCGTGCGGAAGTCGGAGGCGTCCTCCACTTGAAGCACCTCGAAACGCCCCGCGATGAGGTTGAGAGCGTGTGAGATGAGTTCGAGTCCGCCCGCCGGATCGCCGCGCTGCGCCTTGTATTCGGCGTGCAGCAGGTACGCCCGCAGGTCCTCCAGCAGCTCCGCTTGCTCTCGCACGGAGTCGTTGACGAAGGTTGCCGCCGAGAAGGTAAGGTTAGAAGAAGGGAGGGGGGGGAGGTGTTCCGTGCCAATAAAATTAGCATTGTTGACGGGAGCCTCACCGGCTTCATCTTCAGAGTCGTCGGTGTCGTTGTCGACCGCTGGAGCAGGGGGAGCGGCGGTCGCTGCGTCGTTATCATGCCGGTTCGTCCGTGCTCCTCGCGTGCCTTTTTCCTTTTTTGCAGTTTCTTTTTTAGCCGACGCAGATGCGGCGGGTAGTGCAGTTTCCGCGGCTGTAACGCTGACGGGTTGCTGCTGTAGAAGGGACAGCAGCGCGTTGACCTGGTCCGGGGTCAACGCCTGCGTCAGCGCAGGGGCGGCGGTCGCGTCAGACGAGGAGACTGCAGTCCGCCTCCTCTGGCGCTGACGCGACGGTCCAGCAGCGGGTGCTGGCGTGTGCTCGGCGTCAGTCGCGTGTGCCGCGCCAGCCCCCGTCGCCACTTGCGCCACAGGTGCCACTGGCGCCACAGGCGCCACTGGCGCCACAGGGACCGAAGGGTGCTGCTGGGTTTCGGCGTTTTTGTTGACCTCGAGCCCGCCCAGCAGCACGTCCACTGCAGTCGGGGCGGACGGTCCGTCTTCTGCCCGACGCTTGTTACGGCGTTCGCCCGCAGAATCGCGGGCGTTACGGTCGGAGTCGGAAGCGGGGGTTGACGAGTTCCCGTTGTTAAGTGTCGGCGTAGGTGCCATCGTTGAGCGATTGAAGTTGAAAATGTCGCTGAGTAAAGTAGAGGGTGACTCGCCTCTAGGAAGCGATTTAATCCTAGCCAGCTTGGAGGGAAAAACTACTCGAGCGGAAATGTTGAGTGAGCCGTTTGAAAATTGAGAAACGTGGGTGGAGGGAAATGAGCTCCAACCCACGGTTTTTGTAGTTGGAGAAGGGCGTTTAGCGCGCTTCGACGATGCCAATTGTGCAGTACAAGCAGCTTCGCTTTCACAATACACAATTTTAAAAAACACTACATGTGTGTTTAAAAATTATAATATTTTGCCACCGACAAGTATAACTTCATTCACAAAGCATATTGATGTTGGGCCACCCACAAACTGAGTTCAGCTCAGGCCCCAGCGCAGATTACGCTGGGCCATGTCATCACAGCGTGTGCACAAATCCCCCTTGACGAGCACGCTTGCTTTCCACGACTCCTCCACGTTCCCGAGAATCTAGCATCACAGACTTCTCCAGCAGGCCATGGCGGCTCGTGCCTTCTCTCGCAGCGCTTACGTGGCAGCTCCACAAAAATGTCCACCGCCAGCCCCCACTCAGGCAGACTCCCAACTCGCGACGCGACGACAGGTTGTCCCTACCGTCCATATGGAGACATCTTTCGCAAATCCCTTCACTCGTTCCACTCGCCTCGCATCAATCCGTTTCCTACATCTTTCGCTGGTTTCCGTTTCATTCAAGACACCCCGCATTCACCCTTGGGAAGGCCGCCTGCCTCCACTTTGCTTCTCAAACAATCTCGTCCGCATCGCCTTTCCTGGAGTCGCCAGGAGAACCTTCATCTTAGCGTTGATCATCACGGCACCGGTCCTTCCCGAGAGCCGCCACCACCACAACTCGAGCTATTTAGCATCAATCCAACCAACGCGCAGCTTCTCTCCGCGGCTGAGTCTCTTTGATCAGGCGAATTCCCCGTCGCAGAAGTTGTGGTGCATCTCGCACGCCATCCCGCAAACGGAATCCAGCAGCCATCCCTCACCGCATCACGCAATCCGGGGCGATCGACGACAACCAACCTCGCCTACGTCTTCGAGTTGTTGAGTGGAAGAGAGCAGTGCCACCATGCCGCCCGTGGTTCAGTGCCAGTCGCAGCCTCAAACCATCCCATTCACATGCCCCGTCATCCCCGCGCCCAAGGCGCCGGCGCCCGCGGTCGCAGCAGCGCCAACGAGTAAGTTTTTGCAGAATTCCGATGCGTTGCTTGAGAAGGCTCTTGCCAAAACTACGCGTGCGCGTAGAATTCCGATGCGTTGCATGAGAAGGCTCTTGCAGAATTCCGAGGCGTGCGCGTCGTGTCAATTCTCTCGTGGAAATTGGCATCGAGTGAACATGAATTAACTCGCGGCGTGCTTTGAATGTGTGATTATCACCCCACGATGCTGCAGAGCCCGAGGCAGCCACGGTCCCCGAGCCCAACTTTCTGGAGTCGGTGGATTTGTACTTCGACCAGGCGGCGGCGATCTCGCACGTGTCTCCGGATATTCTGGCGCAGATCAAGGCGTGCAACACCATCATCCGCGTGCAGTTTCCGCTCAAGCTGCCCGACGGCCGCGTCGAGCTCGTCGAGGGGTACCGCGCGCAGCACTCGCACCACCGCCTGCCCGTCAAGGGCGGCATCCGCATGTCGCTCACCGTGGACGCGGAAGAAACCATGGCGCTCGCGGCGCTAATGACTTTCAAATGCGCGTTGCTTGACGTGCCTTTCGGCGGGGCGAAGGGCGGCATCAAAATCGGTAGGTGGTGACAATTCGTGATCAGCGTAGCTCAATTGTCGCACGTCGTTTCACTGAAAGCAGTTTTTATGCCGCGTGCGAGCATGTGGTTGATTATTGCTTTTCCTTTTCGTGGCGCTGCGCTGTGCGGTGTATCCCCTGCTGCGCCTCTCCTCCCCCTTCAGACCCGCGCAAGATCTCACCAGAGGCGAAGGAGGCCGTCATCCGACGGTACACGTCGGAGCTCGTGAAGAAGAACTTCATCGGCCCGTCCATTGTAATCCGCCCTTTTCCCGAACGTGACTCGCTCGTCTTGTCTTGCTCGTCTTTGTCTTGGCTATCTTGCGGTTGGAGGCCCCTTTCTCATCATTTGACGATGATCGTGCTCGTGACGGTACGACCGCCCTCGTGTCTACTTGTCTCCGCACACCCTCATTCGATCACTCCCTTCCCGCGTGTCCCTCTCCGTGCGCCATCAGGACGTGCCTGCGCCCGACTACGGCACTGGCCCGCAAGAAATGGCGTGGATCAAGGTGAGCCGCGCTGCTCGCTGCACTCCCCTCTTTCCGCATCGGGCCGATGCCATGATCCATCCTACACCGTCCAGAAATTCTGCTACATCCCACGTATTTCACCGTGCAATGCACCCGCTTCCACCACGTCTCAACCACCCTCCTTCCCGTGCTCACCAGCTTCACTCCCTCCCCGAACCCGTCATTCCACGGCCCCTCTCTACCAGGACACGTACCATATGCTCAAGCCTGGCGACCTCAACTCCTTTGCGTGTGTCACTGGCAAGCCGCTGGAAGAGGTGAGTCGCTACTCAACCAGGTGAAATTGCATCACACTATTCTGCCATCACTCCCTGAACCGTAATGCTTGCTTCATATAGTAGTGCCATTTTCGCATGCACAACGAGTATGGTGTGCTCACCTGTCCCGTTTCTCCCTGTGTGTGCGCGCGCGCCGTGCGCCTGCAGGGGGGCATCCGAGGCCGCACGGCGGCGACGGGGCAGGGCGTGTTTGTGTGTCTGCGGGAGTTCTTCAAGAGCGCCAAGTGGATGGGGCGGCTGGGCATGAGCGAGGGCATCAGCGGCAAGTCGTTCGTCGTGCAGGGCTTTGGCAACGTGGGGCGCCACACCATCGACGCCATAGTGGGCGCGGGCGGCCGCATCGTGGGGCTGGCGGAGTGGAACGGCGGGCTGCTGGCGGCGCCGGGCGAGGCGCTCGACATGGACGCCGTGAAGGCGCACGCGGCGCGCACGGGGGGGTCCATTCTGGGGTGCGCGGGCGCCACGACGGTGAGCGACTCGGCGAGCATCCTGGAGGCGGCGTGCGACGTGCTGATTCCCGCGGCGCTGGAGGGGCAGATCACGGCGCGCAACGCTCCGCGCATCCGCGCCAAGGTGGTGGCGGAGGCAGCCAACGGGCCCGTGACGGCGGCGGGGGAGGCGGTGCTGCAGGCGCGCGGGGTGGTGGTGCTGCCAGACCTGCTGCTGAACGCGGGCGGCGTGACGGTGTCGTACTTCGAGTGGCTCAAGAACCTCAACCACATCCACTTCGGGCGCATGAGCCGCCGCATGGAGGAGCGCGGCAAGCAGCAGCTCGTGGACGCGCTGGAGCAGGAAATGGCGGGTGGCGCGCGCTTCAGCGACAGCACAAGGCAGTCCATCGTGCGCGGCAACACCGAGGAGGACTTCGTGTGGTCGGGCCTCGAGGAACACATGATCGAGGGCTGGGAAAACGTGGACGATGTGGCGGAGAGTAGGGTGAGCTGGCAAAGTTTGTGTTTCCATTTCACCGTTTGCTTCCCGTGCTCAAGCTATGAGCATGCGTTGCTGCATGCAACACTTGTCTGCATGTGCTCGTCACGCTTTCTCCATCTGTATCTGCCATAATCACCTCCTCCTCCCCCCTTCTTACCCTCTTCTTGCCCCTGCTCTGCTCCCCCTCCACCCCAACTGCCACCACCAGGGCTGTTCCTTCCGCACGGCGGCATACCTCATAGCCATTGAGCGCATCGCCCGCACCTACCACGTCAGCGGAATTTTCCCTTAGGGCCAAGTGACTCGGCTCCTGCAACGGCTTCTCTTCCCTCCTTTAGTCCTCCCCTCTCCTCTGGTGCGGGTTGCTCACCTATCTTCCTGCCTCCGCCTTTAGGAGTCTGCTCTTCCCCATCTTTGTCAATTTTTGCTTCAGCATTCACCTCCATGTGTCCTGCTACCATCCTGTACAACTGTGCACCACTGTCTACAACTGTACATCTCTCTGTACAGCATCCAATTTTGCCAGCGGTGGGTGTGCTGCTGAGCTATTCACAGCACGGCTCTGTCCCCTCCCACCGTTCAATTTTGCCCTGAGTTCATGTTTTCTACATGCTTTGGATGGGGTTGTAAGCCGTGTCCTACAGCTTCTGCCATATCCTCGTGCCACTGCATGCAATTTTGTGGATGTGTACAGCTCTTTATTGCTCTTCTCATTGTTATTGCTTTGCTTAGTGAAATCACCTTGTTCAAATTGACCATTCTGGGTAATATATCAGATCCACAGCTCTATACCCCTGATAAGCAGTGCAAGACTTTCAATTTGGAGATATTACTGCTAACTCCACAAAAAGCAGCATATGACAATAAGCAGAGCTGGTAGGAGGTGATGAAATCATGTCAGTCAGCCCGTACCGGTATATGTTTATATTTTGAGAGACTCTCAGGTTTCATAGGTTTGCGTGATAGACTGATACTGTGGATGAGATGTACACTGTGACACGACAAGCTGCACTAAATACTACCGGTGCCAACTCAAGAGTGTCACAATCAGCCATAGGGCAACAACACAGCTGCACAAGTACAAGTCAAGCGGAGGCTCGTTTCGGCACAGCAATTTTCTTGAAGACTGGCTCTCTTCCTTGCTTTTCCGGAGGGCCACCAAGGGCCAGGCACGGAAATTTTTGCTGCATGTTGACTCAGTGCCGCGTTGATCTGACGATTTTATGCTTATCTAAGTTCGTCAAGGTGGGCAGATCTGACGGTGACGGCGGTGGCAGCGGTGGCAGATCTGACGGTGACGGTGGTGGCAGCGGTGGCAGATCTGACGGTGACGGCGGTGGCAGCGGTGGCAGATCTGACGGTCACGGCGGTGACGGCGGTGGCAGCGGTGGCAGATCTGACGGTGACGGCGGAGAAGGTGGGCGGGTCGGGCGAGTCGTAGGTGCTGCAGGCCGTTCGGTATTCCCGAGAGAAGCTCGAGATTCTGGACTAGGCGATTCGCGCTGGCGAGTGGTGTTGTCAGCTTCCAGTTGAAATTCTCGGTATTAACGTTATGCGCACGAAATTGTCGCACCCTTCTTGTAAAGAGTGCGTCTTACGTAAAGGTTAAGAATCACTACGGCTCCGATGTAGTGAAGGCACGCGTTCGTATACAGCATCGTCACATAGTCACATCGTAGACTAAGGCGCTGCTTCTTTTTTTCCCTTTCCATTCCACGCCCCGCCCCGTGTGTTTCCTCCATTCCAGCGGAAGCTTCCTCACGAGTCTATTTACCTCGGCATCGCAACCATCAAAGCTGCCTGGTGGGTCCGCAATCCTCGTTATCATGCTCTGTGTTTGGAACCCCATGCATCACGAAAGCCGGCTGCTGCACCTGCTGCACCTTAGCCTGAGGCTGTGGAAACGACTGCTGCACGTGCTGGTCGCCGGCACATCAGGCCGTGACCATCCATTTCGCCATCCACCCTTCGCTTATCCACCGTCCTGGTAAGTAAATGGCGTTTGCCTGCCCTTTGCTTCTTAAAATCCGAGTGTTCTTTTGTCTGTTTATGTCATTTCTGAATAGCCAGGGACTGATGTTGTGCTCTGTCACTTGTGCAGGTCGTTCACGCACTTGAGGGTCGCCCACGCACTTGAGGGTCGCCCACGCACTTGAGGCGAGGAGGCAGAGGCAGCTACGGGGCGGTGGGATGACGCACGGCCTGGGCGTGCGCTTCTGACCACCGCTGTCCCTGCCTGCACCTCCCAGCAGCAGCAGCAGCAGCCTTGGACATTGTGCTTTGGTTTTGGACTTGAACATTGGTTTTGGACATTGGTTTTGGCTTGGACATTGGTTTTGGGCATTGGTTTTGGCTTGGACATTGGTTTTGGGCATTGGTTAGGTAGGGGCGGTGCCCTGAGGCAAGCGGGCAGAGGCCCGAGCGTGTGAGGCACACGAGGCAACGGCAGGGGCGAGCTCGACTGGTGAGTGCATGCTTGCAGCAAGGTGTGTGCACGAGTGAGTTGCTGCAGCTCCTTCAGTGAGAAGACCTGACCTTTCTGCACACTGCAGCACCTCCAGCGCCTACACCTCTGGTACGTCTCAACGCTATGTCTTTCCTTGTTGCTGTCGTTGTCTCTTCTTTCCTCGTTCCGTTAAGTTCCTTGCTTGTTTACGGTCCCTCGACTTACCTCGGTGCTTGTTGTACCATGCAGCACGCTCAACGCAAGCGTGTGCAAGGGGAGGGGAGGCGTATGGGCGCGTGGCTGAGGTGGACGGCGCATGGCTGATGTGGTCGCGAGCTTGTCGGGATGACGCTCGGCCGGCAGTCACAGGCGTGTGGCTGCCTCCTACCCGCCCTGCTGACCATGCGTTCGGAGGCAAGGCACGGAGGGGCAGACGAGGAGCATACGAGGTGGAGTGGAGTGAGGGTGGGTGGAGGAGGAGTGTGAGTTGCTTGATTAGGGTGGGTTGCTTGATTGGGGTGGGTTGCTTGATTGGGGTGGGTTGCTTGATTGGGGTGGGTTGCTTGATTGGGGTGGGTTGCTTGATTGGGGTGGGTTGCTTGATTGGGGTGGGTTGCTTGATTGGGCTGGGTTGCTTGATTGGGGTGGGTTGCTTGATTGGGCTGGGTTGCTTGATTGGAGGAGGCGACGAGGAGCCAGCGCTGCGGACGAGGAGGAGGTGGCACTTCAGGCGTGGAGGCGATGAGGAGCCAGCGCTGCCGGTGAGGAGGAGGCGTGCATGGGGAGGCGCAGGAGCAGAGGCGCTTCACTCCTTCATTCCCACTCTCATGCGTGCGCACGGGAGTGAGTGGAGCGAGGAGGTGGCACGGTTGGGAGCGCGGCGGGGAGCAGAGGATCGACTGCTGCACCAGCAGAGGAACGCATACTGCTCCTGCTCAGGAAACGGCAATACCATCTGCCAAGGTGAGTTGAACCAATTTTCAAGCACTTTGCATAATGAGATATTGAGTAGTTTTTTTTCCCTTTTTTTCCATTTATTTGTACACGAATCTGAAACGTTCAGGCACTTATGTTTTTTTCTGATTGTGCAGGTCTTTCAAGGTCTGCTGCTGCACTTCGCCGCTCTCCACTGCATTTTGTGGAAAGCAGCAGCAAACCGTTGAGCACCTGAGGCTGAGGAAACGACTGCTGCTCCTGCTGCACCTAAGCCTGAAGCCGAGGGAAACGACTGCTGCACTGCTGCCCAACGACTTCTGCCGAACAACTGAGGCGAGGAGGAATGGCGCCACTGATGCCGCACCAAAGGAACTTGTGAGTCGCCTTCCCTACGTTGCCTTCCCTCAGTCAGCTGAATCTGTTCTTTCAGCACATTCAATTTTGAAAACCCTGATTATGTTTTTCATCACCTCCAATGCTGCGAACCCGAGTTCTTCTTTTCTTTTGTTTTCTTCTTTTCTTTTGTTTTCTTCTTTTCTTTTGTTTTCTTCTTTTCTTTTGTTTTCTTCTTTAGGAATTCTGTTATCTAGTCACTGATGCTGTGTGATTCAGCCTTTGCAGGCCAGCTGCTGCACGGCGAGGCAACGCTGCTGGCGAGGAGTCGACGCTGAGCGATGCCGCGAGGAGGCGGGCGGCGACTGGAGAGCAGCTGACAGCACTGCTGCTGCCCTGCTGACCACTGCTCGCCTCTCAGGGAGCACGGCGCACTCGGGTTCTGTGCTGCTGAGGAACGGGTCCTGCCGCATCGGAGAAGCCGCCATGGTAAGCTAAAGCCGTTTCTTCTCCATTTCCATATTGGAAACCTGAGTGATGTCCTTCTTTCGTTATTTTTCCCCACATCTTATTGTTCAGTTACTGATGCTGTTTGATTGTTGACTTGTCCAGGTCGCTGAAGGCCTGGCTGCTGCTGCTGCTGACGAGGCGATGCTGCTCACCACTGAGGCGATGCTGCTCACCACTGAGGCGATGCTGCTCACCACTGAGGCGATGCTGCTCACCACTGAGGCGATGCTGCTCACCACTGAGGCGATGCTGCTCACCACTGAGGCGATGCTGCTCACCACTGAGGCGATGCTGCTCACCACTGAGGCGATGCTGCTCACCACTGAGGCGATGCTGCTCACCACTGAGGCGATGCTGCTCACCACTGAGGCGATGCTGCTCACCACTGAGGCGATGCTGCTCACCACTGAGGCGATGCTGCTCACCACTGAGGCGATGCTGCTCACCACTGAGGCGATGCTGCTCACCACTGAGGCGATGCTGCTCACCACTGAGGCGATGCTGCTCACCACTGAGGCGATGCTGCTCACCACTGAGGCGATGCTGCTCACCACTGAGGCGATGCTGCTCACCACTGAGGCGATGCTGCTCACCACTGAGGCGATGCTGCTCACCACTGAGGCGATGCTGCTCACCACTGAGGCGATGCTGCTCACCACTGAGGCGATGCTGCTCACCACTGAGGCGATGCTGCTCACCACTGAGGCGATGCTGCTCACCACTGTTCTACGTGTCGTGCTCCGAGAGTGTGGGGACATGCTTGTGGGCGTCGGCGCGTGCAGTGCAGTGCACAGCACAGTGCACCAAGCCAGCTCTTCCCATGGTAGCAGCTCTTCTCCGCCACCAAGCCAGCAACGCCTTTTCAGGCACGTGCCTCAGAAGGCGGCGCCCTGCATCGTGTTTCCGGGCGAGATAGACGCCACGCCATAGGCGGCAGTTGCAACGCACTTCCAAGGAGGGCCAGCAGTGCAGTGCATGGGGATGATGTGACGCTCAAGCAGCTGCTCTTGGAGCTGGGCTGGCCGGCTTCAAGCAGAAGCAGGGCGTGCTTGCGGTTGCTCGTGCGACAGCTACCAACTTATCCGAGAGCCTTCAGAAGGCGCTCGGCTCGTGCAGCCAGGCCTTGACGGTTTGACCGCCACGTGGCCCCTAACCCCGATGTGGAGGGGCGGCGGCAGATCCTCGAACACCAGTTCGCAAGGTGCAGTGCGGTGGCCGTGCGTGGGTGCTGCATGCATGGGTGCTGCATGCATGTGTGCTGCATGCATGTGTGCTGCATGCATGGGTGAAGGGAAGTGTGCTGCACCACATTCAGCTGAGTATGCACACAATCATTTCCTCCCTCATTGGACCCTGCTGCTTTTTGCCCTGCCTCCCTGCCCACTCCTACATGTCTTCCTTTGCTCATTCTTGTTAATCCTCCTCAAAACCTCCTCCCTCCCCCGCTTCAACCCGCCCTCCCTTCTCCCCACCCCCAACTTCCTCCCCCCACTCCAGTCTCGCAGTCAAGTACAGGGTGAAGGAGCCGTGTGGAGAGGCGCTGCTCTTGCCCTTGGGACGACAGGGAGGAGAACGAACCCCAGGTCAGTTCACGTGCATGGTATGTAGCGCCATCTTCATCTGCCTGTGCCATGTCACCTTTCTCATTGTTTCCCCTTCCTTCTCCTCATCATTGGAAGACGACGAAGAGGAGAATGAGCGCGAGGTGAGCTCACATACTGGGAGTGATGATATCGTAACTTCTTCGACATTCGTCCAATGCGCCAAGCGTAGAGCCGTCTTCTCACTGGCATGTGCCATTTCCCAACCATCTATGCCATGTCAACATGCTAGTTCCTTTCTCACCCCTTCTCATTCCTTCGCCTCATGCCTCCTTACCCCTTACCCTTCCCCGCCCCCACCAAAACCACCCCCACCAGCGCATGCCCCTGTCATCCTCCCTCAAGGCGCAGACAGCACCGGTGTATGCCTTCGCCCCCGACTCCTTCGTGTGCGCCATCACTGCCGACTCGCTCGAAGTCTTTGCTCACACCAACCCGCTGCAGCCCAAAGGTGGGGTGGGGCTGGACTAGAGTGCGTGCGGCCAAGGTGTGGATGGCGGCGGGTTGGGTTGGGGCACAGAACAACAGCCCAAGGTGGGGTGGTGGCAGGGTGGGGTGGTGCGGATGCAATATGGAGCATCAACCATGCTGGGCAAGAGGAGCAAGCGATTGCGGGCGGCACAAGGGCAAGTTTTGCACAACCCCAGCACGCCCGTGCCATGGCTGTCAGGCGGAGAAAGCTATACAGGGCAAGGGGAGGATAGGTCCTTGAGAGAATAGGCTGTGAGAGGGGAGACGGAGAGTTGATGTTCTTAAGGGACGCGACAAGGACGTTTGACTTTATTTGGAGGATAAGGGCTGTACCTAAGGTGAGTAATACAGTCACGCGGAGCCAGATAACCTGGTAGCCAGCTCAACTGGTAACCAGCTCACGGGCGCTGCCCTCCGCAGCCACGGACAAGGCGCGGGCGTCATGCTCGCGTGCTGCCATGAATCCTCGTCTTCACTCGCTCGTCAACCTTCCTTTCTCTCTTCCCTTCTCCCCCTCTCTCCCCATCCCTCCCTCTCTCCTCTTCCCTTCCTCTTTTGCGTGGCACCCTCGGCTCCTCACCCTTCACCTTCCACTTTTCTCGCGCCATTTCCAACTCGTCCTCCCCCACGGCCCACCCCCTACGCTCTCTGTGTGTGTGCTGTTGCCTGCAGATGGCCAGATGTTCGACAAGCACCTCACTGCCCACGGTACGTTGTTTCCCCCGCCTTGCGTTGCCGTCATCCTAAACCCGGCAAAATTATGTCAGACAATCACCTTGGAGAGGCGATGGATCATAGATGGAGCAGCACCAAAACCCACGTGCATGAGCCTCAAGAGTAGTCTCCTGGGTGAGGATGCAAGTGGTCTTTGAATGGCGTACTAGTGCAAGTAGATCAAAGTGAATGTTTCTGAAAAGGCGGTCTCCTAGTGGAATTCATGTAGATTTGGGTTTGGATACGAGTGGTGCAATACTCCGAATTGCGTCGTGCAAGTAGGTCTGAGTCAAGATGCGTGCTTGGAGGAGAAACGCTGAAAGTAATTGGAGGAGAAACGCGGAAAGTTACTAGTTACTAATGTGTTGGGTGTTGGTGTGATCTGTCGTGCAAGCTTGCTTGCGTGATAGCGTATTAACTCCAAGGGAGGTCAACATCTTGGATCATCTAGAGAACGAAGCGCGCGTTGAGCTGGCGTTCCGGTGTGTTAGCAGACTAACTCCAAGAAGCTTGTGGATGTGGCACCGTGTAGAGGTGGCAAGAGGGGGTTGAGGCAGGGGGGGTGCAGGGGGAGTGGGCCTGCCGAGGTGGCACTTCTTTCAACTGCAGTGCACCTGAAAAAACCCTATCGTATGAGCCGCCCTGAACCCCAAACTCCTCTCACCTGGCCTCAAGGTACTTGGTCATCACGTTGGAGGCAGGAGCTAGGCTCGTCTTCACGTAGGGCTGATACGGTACCCTACGTGAAGCCCTACGTGAAGACGAGCCTGGTCATTATACCCAAGAAAAATTCGCCATCCCCGCTGATCGGCGACTTCCCCCGACGAACCGCGCAGATCGGCGATTTTCCCCGCAGATCTGCGCAAATCGGCGATTTCGCCGCAGACTTGCGCAAATCGGCGATTTCGCCGCAGACTTGCGCAAATCGGCGATTTCGCCGCAGACTTGCGCAAATCGGCGATTTCGCCGCAGATCTGCGCGGATCCGCGAAATTCCTCACAGATCCGCATAGGTCGAAAATCCCCCCCTCCCCCCCCACAAGATAAGCGCGGCATCGCGGAGCAAAGGTATTTCCCGCAGAAGGGGAGGGGAGAGACTCCCTCAATCATCTTTGTTGTAGATCTGAAAGTGACGACTGTCAAGCTTTCAAATCTCAAATTGGTTGGATGATCTAGATGCAATGCGGTGAAGATAGGTGATGGGAGGGGAAATTGGTTGGAGGCAACATTTGTGCAGAAATTTGGCGACTGTGGGGTACGAATTTCAAGTTTGACCTAGGTTTCCCTATCCACGATCTCCCCTACGCCTCCTCCTACACTAAAGCTATCATGCCTCTTGTTTGCCAGCCCGACGCAGAGCCATTCGCGCAACGCAATTGCAGCCTATCCTACACTTTCTGTATCTTAACCCGATTTCGAGTCACGGGCCGACCTCACCTGACGGATCAAGGGTACCCGTGAAAACGATTTCCTGACGGGTCACGGGTCGACCCGACCCGTACGGGTAGGCCCGACCCGACCCGTCCGGGTCGGGATACTCAGTACACCTGACCCGACCCGGCCAAAAGGCCGGGTCGGTTCGGGTTACCCGACCCGTCCGGGTCAAATGCCCATGCCTACTCTACGCCTTCTTCGGGTACTCTTCGTACTCGTCCTCGAGCACCTTCTGCTCCGCCTCATCCGCCTCTTCCTCCTCCTCCTCATCCTGCACAATATACCCCTCGGGGATTGGAGGGTCGGGAATGTTCCCCTTCACAATCCCCGCCCCCTCCGCCGGGACCTTGTGGAAGTTGTGCACAACGTTCCAGTTGTGCGCAACATAGACAAGGACACGGCACTTCACTGAACCCAGCCTGTTGCGCCTTGCAGTGTGCACCAAATCCCACATGGACCAGTTCCGTTCGCATGATGAGGCGGACACAGGCTGGGACAGCACACGACGTGCAAGGCGCGCGAGCTCGGGCCACTCAGTGCAATGCCACAGCCACCACTGCTCCATCGTCTGCTTCTTCTCCTTCACCTTCTCCCGTGCCTCCCTGGCCTTTGGCATCCCACAACTCCCCCTCGACTCCAAGTACGCCGTCACCGCTGCCTCCAGATCCACATCCCTCCCCGACACTCCACTCATGGCGGGGTACCGCTCGTAGTAGTCACTGGCGCGTGCAATGAACTCCTTAAAGACCCGGGTGCACTCCACATCAACCCCGAAGATTTCCTCATCCTGGTTGAGCGGGTTCAGGATCCGACCAGCCACTTGCAAGGAACACGCGAGGCTGTTGTCCCAGCGATCCTTCACAATGCGTGAGATTCGCGCCTTGTCTGTCCTGGTCAAATGCTTCTCGTCCCCATCCAACACCTTCTCCACGTCCTCCGTCAGCTGCAGCATGAGGTCGTACATGCGACCCATCATCCCATGTGCAGTCGAGTCCGTCATGCGCATCGTCTTGTAAAACAGCTCCAGTAGCTTCACAAAGAAGCCGGCAGTCTTCCACCACGTCGGATCAATCACCTGGCTGGCAAACTTCTCGGCCCCCTCCTTCCTGTCCCCCACGGCCCACCCCTTCCACAGGTCACTCGTCACGAGCATGGTCAGCTTCTGCTCCAGCTTGCACAACCTCGAAACCGCAATGTACTGAGTGCCAAACCGAGTGCCGGCCGGCCGCAGCGCCTGCAGCACCTTACCCCCAGGCAATGTCGGGTCCCTCAAAGCGGCACGGGTCCAATGATGGTTGCGCAGGAAGTTGATCATCTCGTTTCCCCTGTCCACAATCTTCTTCGCTTAGTCCATCTTCCCCACATCCTCCATCATCAGGTCAAGCACGTGAGTGGCGCACGGAACCTCCTAAATGTGCGGAAACTCCGCCCCCAGAATCCAACGCGCCGAGCCGTAGTTGCTCCCCCCATCCGTGCACAGCGCCACAACATTCTGGAGACCGACTTCCGTGATGATGGGCCTCAGCATGTCAGCAATGAAGGTGCCCGTCTTGGTCTCCATTCCACAGTCGATGCTCTGAGTGAACATCGCCCCTGCGTCGTTGATCAGCAGAATGTTCGCATGTGCACGCGACAAGCGATCGGTCATCATGTCGCTCGCAATGGTGACCCCCTGCTTCGCCCAAGTCTTCTTAATGGGCGCCAACCCCTCCTCGATCCGAATGCGGCACTTCTGGAGACAGGATCCGCCAACGTACTTGCGGCCGGGCGGGACGTAGCCGCTGCCCGCCTCGGCCACCGCCCGTAACATGTTACGGAAGAGCGGGTGATCAGCATGGTGTTCGGGAATACGCAGGCCCGCGAAGAAGAAAGAAATCGCCTCATCGGCCCTAGATTTTGCCTCCGCCGTCTCTCCGCTGAAGAAATCCGAAATCTTCCGTTTCCCGGTAGGACCACCTCCAATCGCCTCCATGGCCCCGGCTGCCGCCTTCCCCTTATCCGCTTTTGCCTTCCCCTTATCCTCATACATCTTCTTAATTTCCTCTACGACATGTTTAGGTGCTTTGTCACAAAGGTGAGCATCCCTATTCTTAGGTTGACCGTCCCAAACCGCAAGGTGCTGCGAACAACGTGTTGTGGACTGCACGAAATCGTTGTCACAAAACTTGCACATAGCCCATTCCAACTTTCCTTTCTAAGGATCCACAAAAAAACGGAAATGCTTGTACAACGGATGCTCGAGCATCTCTTTGAACGTGATTCCAGAGCTAGATGCGGCGCCCTCATTAGCGGTTGAAGGGGTGGACGAAGCCATGGCTAAACGTAGGAGTATCTAAAACGCTAAGGCTATGGTGCCGATCTAAGCTAGCAATGTCGAATGGCTTCTCTGGAAACCCTAAAAGTAAGTCGCGTTGGTTGGGGGGAGAGGGAAATGTGTCTTTTGTTTGGAGACTGTAGATTTAGTGCGGTGGGAAGGGGTAAGGGGGTTGATTTTTGTTTGCAGGTTGGGTTATGTAGATGTAGTGCGGTCGAGAGGGGTGGAGGGGTTGAATTTCGTCTGCAGGTTGGGTTATGTAGATGTAGTGCGGTCGAAAGGGGTGGAGGGGTTGAATTTTGTGTGCAGGTTGGGTTATGTAGATGTAGTGCGGTCGAAAGGGGTGGAGGGGTTGAATTTTGTGTGCAGGTTGGGTTATGTAGATGTAGTGCGGTCGAAAGGGGTGGAGGGGTTGAATTTTGTGTGCAGGTTGGGTTATGTAGATGTAGTGCGGTCGAAAGGGGTGGAGGGGTTGAATTTTGTGTGCAGGTTGGGTTATGTAGATGTAGTGCGGTCGAAAGGGGTGGAGGGGTTGAATTTTGTGTTCGAATTTCCAGTGTGGTGCAATGTCGAGAGACCTTGCAGTCTCGACATCGAATGCCTTAGTAGTTGAGCAAGTTGGCATAGCTGTCGCCTTAGTAGTCGCGATGCTGCCTTAGCTCTCGCCTTAGTAGTGTGCCTTAGTGGTCGCCTTTGCATTCGCGAGCCTTAGTAGTCGGCTTAGCAAGTGCTTAACAGTCGCGATCTCGACTGCCTTAGCAGTCGCGATGTTCTTAAGCGATTTTTTTTTTGCGCCAGGAACAGATTTCGATTTAGGGCTGCCCGAAAAAAAATTTAGGACCGTCAAGCGTCAAAACGACCGTCAACCGTCAACCGTCAAAACGGACCGTTTTGACGGTTGACGGTGGCCTGCTGGACCGTCAAATCCAACTAAGGTGGCTTGCTGCTCTCTGTGGTGCTGTGGCATGTGTGTGGGGTTTGGGATCGAGTTGGAGTGTGAATGCAGCGAGCTGGAGAAGAAGGGGTACGCGTCCATCTTCAAGAAGACTGCTGAGGTGGGTTGCTTGCTCCTTGTGATGGTGCGGTGTGGTGTGGTGTGGTGTGGTGTGGTGTGGTGTGGTGTGGTGTGGTGTGGTGTGGCGTGGTGCGGTGCGGTGTGGTGTGGTGTGGTGTGGGATTTGAGCTGCCACAGACACATTGAGCTGGAGAAGCAATTGTACGCGTCCGTATTCAAGAAGAAACCGCCGAGGTGCGTTGGTGGGACTGGTGTGCTGCGTGCTGTGGTGCAGTGGTGGTGTGGCGGTGTGGCATGTGTGTGGGAGGGGTTCGGGGTTCGAGCTTGATTGTGAAAGCAGCGAGTTGGAGAAGCATGGGCGTTATCGCTGCTCATGGCCGTGGGGTGGGACTTGAACGTGCGGGATAAGATGGGGTGCACTGCAACACATTGGGCCGCTGCTAAATGAAGGTGAGTGCTGACGATGCTCGTGCTAGGTTGGGAAGGAACAGAGACGTCTCAAATCACACCAGTGTCGGGATGGCCGTGGCCGTGGGCGGCAGTGACCGCTGCTCTGCTCATGGCCATGGGGTGGGACCTGAGCGCGCGAGACAAGCTATGTTGCAATATACCCGACTAGCGTACCAGTCGGGCTCGTACTATACGCCAACGTTCGAACGTCGTACGATGGATTTCCGCCACCTTGATATGATCAAAATACGGTGTCCCGGGCAGGGGAAAAAAGTTCTGGGCAGGGGAAAAAAGTGTCAGGGAGTGGGTGATGATCCCTATATTCAATGTTTCTTGCCGATCTGCTGGCCGAATTCTAGAATCGCGCTGATCTGGCGGCGGAATGCCAGATCTGCGCCCCTCTGCCTACTTGCGTCCAGCTGCAACATTAGTGGTCGACATAGGTTTTTGAAGCTGCCGACGTGAAAGCCAAAGTGTGGTTGGAAGGGAGGGGTAGGGTTTGGGAGGTGATGTGTGGTTATGTGCGGTGGAAGGGTGGGTGGGTGCGGGGGAAGGCATTCGACTTTCAAATGTCAAAATTAGGTTAACAGCTTGGGAAGCAGGGGCATGAATTTGTGTGCAACAGGCATCATCTACTTGTCGCCTATAGCTTATGTTGCTCTTCCCCCGCTCTCCGCCCCCTCCCAGCTGTACAAGGGCGCAGTCTATCTAACCCATTGACGGCTGCATTGCTCTTTAGGGATGTGCCTCCTTTCTGCCCCCATCCCTCCCCTCCTTTCTGCTCCCATCCCTCCCCTCCTTTCTGCCCCCATCCCTCCCCTCCTTTCTACGCCCATCCCTCCCCTCCTTTCTGCCCCCATCCCTCCCCTCCTTTCTACGCCCATCCCTCCCCTCCTTTCTGCCCCCATCCCTCCCCTCCCCTTCCCCCCCATTTCCCCTTCAGATGTACACGGGCACGGCCGATGCAATCGACGGTTGCAGTGATTCAACAGCTACCACGCCCGCTCCTGTCGCATCCCCCCCTCTCCCCCCCCGCCCGCCCAGGTGTACACGGGCACGGCCTGCGCCATCGACGGCTGTGCTACCTTTTTCCGCCGCGACCGCTTCTCCCTCGTCAAGAAGTGCGAGGTGCGTGCTAGCTGGGGGGGAAAGGTGGGGTGAGGGGTGTACGCCCTTGGGGAAGGGTGAGAGGTGAGAGAGGTGTGCACACCTGGAGGGTGTGTGGTGTACGAGGTGCGGATTCAGGGGGAGTTGGGAAGGGGTTGGATAAGAGATGTGTACGGAACGAGGGTAAGAAATGCCGCCTCTCCCTCGTCAAGACATACAGAGTGTGGATTGGGGGGGGAGGTTGGGTGTAACGATTGGCTGTTGTTATGAACGCTGGGGGGGTGAGCGCTGGGGGCGGGGGGGGGGAGATGAGTATTGAGAGGGGTTGAGCGCATTCTTTTATCTCAATGTCAGCCCTTCTTCCTCCTCAAAATTCCCCCTCATCTCTCTCATTCACTAAACTCATTCGCAGGTGGAGTTCAACAAGGCAGCTCTCTCACGCTTAGACGTTCATGTCCCTCCCTTCTCTTCCCCCTCCTCTCATCTCTCCTTCACATCTCTCTGATCCACTCCACCCGCAGGTGGAGTTCAACAAGGCAGCTCTCTCAGTCTCTGAGGCTCTCGCGCCTCCCACTAAAAAGGCTGCTCTCAACCGCTTTCTCAAGGTACACTTGCAATCACCTCCCTTCCCATCAATTACACGGTACACCTGCATCTCTGTACCAAACACTCACCACCCACCCACCCACCCACCCTGCCACCAGAAAGGCTGATCTCAACCGCTCAAGGTACATTTATTATCAGCTCCGAACCCCTCTATGGTACATACAGCTGAATTTTTGTAGCCTTGCTGGTTGATAGCCATACACGGTTCCATACACTGTGGATTCACCCATCAACGAGGCTCCTCTTTACCACCTGCTCAAGATACGACTGATAATACCACTTCTACAGTACACCTGCATCCTTGTACCATACACTCTTCAACCACCCACCAAGAAGGCTGCTCTCACTCACCCCCACTCTCACTTGCACAGCTGAACCCCACACTCTCAAGCTCAACCTAAAGCTTGAAATTCAACCCCCACCCCTACCCACGTCCCCACCCCAACCCACACCTCCACTCCTGCACCCACCCTCTCCTCCTCCCAGTCCCACCAGGACAACGTGGCGCTGATAGTGGTGCTGGAGGCGAGGGACGCAAGTGGGAAGAGGGGGGGCGATGATGCCAATGCATGCACTCCTCTTTTTCCTACCACCCCTCCTACCCCCCCCATTCGCCAGGACAACGTGGCGCTGATAGTGGTTCTAGAGGCACGGGATGCAGGGGGGGGCGGACGGCAAGGACGGGGCTAATGCGCCTCCAGCCAAACGGCAGCTTCTCTGTGTGGTGAGATGCGGTGCTGTGCAGTAATTTGCGTGGTGAGATGCGGTGCTGTGCGGTGGTCTGTGTTAGGGATGAGCAAAGGGCGAACACGAACGTGTTCGTGTTCGCCCATGCACGAACACCCCTGTTCGGCGAACCGAACACTGTTCGGTTCGGCGAACACCTTAAGCAAAAACAGGTGTTCGCCGTTCGCCTATGAAGGCGTGTTCGGGCGAACCTCGAACACGTTCGTGTTCGTCTAGGGGCAAATTGCAGCAGCGGCCCGAACACGAACGTGTTCGGGCGAACCTCGAACACTGTTCGGCGAACGATTTAAGCCAAAAAAATTAACCTGTTGGTGTTCGTTTTTTTGCTCATCCCTAGTCTGTGTGATTGCTGTGTGGTGTGGTGCTCTCTCTTTGTTCAGTATTTATGCGGTCGTATTTTCTCTTGTTCGATTTCAAGATGACTTAAAACTGAAATTGTATGTTCCCCTATGCTTCGACATGCTGTCTCTTGCTTCCATCCCCTTTCTTCACCAGCTTTTCTATCCTTTCACTCATGTACTGTCATGTGTCTTCATATACCAGCGTGTGCCATCACATGCCAACACATGCCTCTCCTTTCAACCCCTTAATCAGGCCAACTCGCACATCCACGCCAACCCTGAGCTCAAGGACGTCAAGCTGTGGCAGGTGAGGGCCGAGGGAACGGGGGGGTGCAAGGCACATGTGGTGTGGGGTCAAGGTGGTTGGAGGCTAGGGGGCAGCCTAACGGTTAGGCATGGCCTAACCCGCACATCCACGCCAACCCTGAGCTCAAGGACGTGAAGGTGAAACTGTGGCAGGTGAGGGATGAAGGGGGGAAGGGGTGGCAAGGTATGCTGCATGTGGTGTAGGGGGCAGGCGGCTAGGTATGGCCTAACCCGCACATCCACGCCAACCCTAAGCTCAAGGACGTGAAGTTGTGGCAGGTGAGGGACGTGAGGTTAGTGTCGATTTCAATTCAGTTTCTTTGCACACTTCTCCCTCACTCTCTCGCTTTCGCTTCCTCCTCTCTCCTTCCTCTCCCCCTCCTCATTCCCTCCTCTCCGCCTCCACTCTCTGCGCTCTCCCCCTCAAC